GCCACTGTGTTTTGCTTTGGTCAGGCCTCATCTGGAATAATCCAGTTCTGGGCACCATAATTCAAAAAGGAGGCTGAAAAACTGGAGCGTGTCCAAAGGAGGGCAACTAAAATGGTGAAGGGTCTGGAAACCATGAAGCCCCATGAGGAGAGACTTAGGGAGCTGGGGATGTTTAGCCTGGAGAAGAGAAGGCTGAGAGGTGATATGATAGCCGTGTTTAAGTATTTGAAGGGGTGTCATATCGAGGAGGGAACAAGCTTGTTTTCTGCTGCTCCAGAGACTAGGACCCGAAACAATGAATGTAAGCTCCAGGAAAAGAGATTCCACCTCAACATTAGGAGGAACTTCCTGACAGTAAGAGCTGTTCGAAAGTGGAACACAGACCCTCAGCTGAGAGTAGTGGAGTCTCCTTCCTTGGAGGTCTTTAAGCAGAGGCTGGATGGCCATCTGTCAGGGATGCTTTGATTGGGAGTTCCTGCATGGCAGAAGGGGGGTTGGACTGGATGGCCATGGGGGGTCTCTTCCAACTCTATGATTCTAAACTCCAAATTGCAAATATTCTGCAATATATATATATATAATAAATAAAAAGAAGACCTGCTTGGTTTTCAATTACTTTCTCCCAGAGGAAATAAAATTGTAAAATTATCTGATCCTGCCTACAAGAATGAAGTTTACAAATGTTTAAACAGGATTTATTGCTGAGAGGGAAATCATCACTTCTTTACACATTTGGAGTTAGGAGAAGGTGTGATAAAGCTTTCTTTTCAGTATTAGTTGCGGTCCCAAATGGACACTCAGTCCTACTTTTCTGCACCCGTGGGACGGCATCCACACTGCAGAGATAATCCAGTTTGACGTCACTTTAACTGCCATGGCTCAGTGCCATGGTATTCTGGGACCTGTAGTTTGGTGGGACACCAGAGCTCTCTGGCAAAGAAGGCTACATGTCTCACAAAATGACAATTCCCAGAATCCCATAGCATTGAGGCATGGCACACTGGATTATTTCTGTAGTACAGATGCAGCCACAGTGTAGCTAAAGTTATCACACAAAATGTCGGCAATGTACCAAGACCACAGAATCACACTGGAAGCAATCTGGATGAATGCTAAAACAATAATCTGTAATTGTGTTTGCAACTCTCTATTTAATCCCTGGTTTGGTTTTGCTTTTTAAAAATCACTTTCATTTTTTCCACCAAAATGTCAGGATTGTGTGCAACACAAGAAGTTTCTAACTCACAAACCATAAGGACGAGGAAAAACGGACACCCGCTAAGAGTTTCTCTAAAAATGATGCAGGATTCAGCCACCCAGCAGCCTCCAGAGGGGGCCAGACTACAAATCCCATCACCAGCCAGACCCATGGCCATACCTGATGGGGATGATGGGCCCTA